AGCAAATGTGAGGTTGGCAGGACTGCTCGCGTTCGCTTTCGTAACGACCTGCCTGCACCCGCCGCTGCCAACCTCTGAATATTTCAGCGACGTTCCCTACGAACGTTGGAGCCGTTCCGAACGCGGTAACAGATGTATTTGGAATGCAAATTGGGACTTCAAATGAAGGCAATGCGACAGCACGGGAAATACGAAATAAGGAGAATTGAGATGAAAAAAGAATCCACCGTTTATCAGCGGCAGATACGTATTACAAGGAGAATGAATGGTAATGAAACGAAGCCGAGCGTGCATCAGGCATAACAAAGGGAAATGTAAATCGAGTCCAAGTTAATCTAATTGGAATTCGGCATGTAATTAATTTTTAACGAATTCACAACAAAACTTGTTTGAAATCGTAAGAAACGCGTGGATCAGCAGTTTTAAAGTGAACTGGAAATTATTCTAGAACACTGCAGTAATGACACCCGGAAGGCGTAATCGAGTTTTCTCTCAGTAACGTGCCGTATGCTGAAATTAATGAGAAGCGATGCCAACGCCGTGTCGTGCCTGGTCGTAGAACTACCCGTCCACTAGTCTTACCCTCGCTTTTCGCGTATGCGAAGTTCTGCGTCGGTTAGGCATCGTAGTGTTGTAACCAGGGGGAGATATTAACAAGTAAATGAATATTTGCAATGAAAAGTTACAAAAGCTACGTGAATTTTTAATGAAATGAGTAATTTTGTGTCAACACTCATATAAAAGTCAAAATGTCATTGTAGTACGAAATCATTAAGATCATTGTCTGAGAATACATAGCACAAACTCCATAATATGGACTTTGTACAGAGTGCATAATATATAAAAATGCCAATATTTTCGAACCTTTTAAAATTACAATGTAACTTGAATATCTCTTGAAATGTGCTGAAGCTACATTAAAATTCGCTTAAAACCCTATATTTGCTTAGCGATGAAAATAACTTTATAAATCGCTTTGTAACTCTATGTTATGTAATTTAAATTACATTAATCTTAAGACGGAATGAAACTAGAAGAGTCTGATGATCCTAATTTGCATGGTCAACAACAATAACTTTTAACTTTAATTAGGATAAGGTAGTGTAGCTGGGTTATTCACAAGAAAATAGTTTACGTTATACCGTTTCATACAATAACCTTGAATGGGCAAACATAGTTGTATCAATGCCGGTGTCTACGAAGTCATTCGGTCATTAAACAGATAGGCTAAGAAACTCTAAATATTTTAATTTAAGATACACGTATTGCAAAGTAAAAATAATTTGGATTACTGCATATCTTACCAGGCGAAAGAATTGTTAGTGGAAATACGGTTAGTGGATTTCTCAGGGGCATGGGCAAAAATTGCAAACACAATCGTTTCCACATCTCGAGAATACTTCATACGAAACAGAACATATTTCGTTTTACTTGAGAAGTGACGGCCAAGCAATAGTTTCTTAAACGTATGTACTAAATTCTATTGAATATGTTTTACTTCCAATATGTAGATTTGCGTATTGATAAGACTTAATGTAGGTGCTGTGGACTCCTTACATTAAAACAATTGAAATCTTGATCTTATCTTGGTATATTAAATTTTCTGGGTAAACAAATTTGAACTGTCTACTGCCACAGAGAGGTCCATTGGAAATTTTGATTATTCATTATATCTGTACGGATCACAACTTTTGGAACTCACAGCGAATGTGGATTGTGGGAACTTTATTTCCATTGCGGTAATTGTATTACGTCGTTAAGCCACAAACGTTACGACACGGAACCTCGACCCTAAGCTTTTGGACCCTCGCCTTAAGCCGTGAGTATGTACGGCTTCCTGTGCGTTTGTTCGCATTGTCTGCGAACGAAATAATCAGTTTTACGGTGTTCATATGTGCTGTGACAAATATTTGGATTAGTTTTCAAATTCATGCGCAGGAGTGAATTTCATTTTTAGGAAAGTTACTTTCGCGAAATCCTTACGAGTTGTGACGACTGCTGGTGTATTTTCGTTGTTGCAGAATCACATAGATTTTAGGGAAAGTGATATCCTTTGGCACAAAAGTACATAGGTACATATTGTAAGCCGGAGTTTTGTTACGATTTCAGTGCAATTTTAGTAAAATATTTGTTTGAAAAATACTTAATTTTCCAGAGTTCAATTATTATGTTTTTCGCTAGAGGAGTTAGCACATCAAGATTTGACACGGGGTCTAAAGACAAAAGCGAATTTTTGTGAAGGATTTCTTAATCGCGTGTCTTTCCGCACCCGCGGTCAATTTGCTTCACCAAGAGATGAATATGTGGACGCGGCGACATTTAAATTCCCCGTGCGTGCCCATAAATTATCAAGCCGAGGGCCACGTGGGCGAAAGGCCCTTTTTAAGCCCCTCGCAGGGGCGTGTATAAATCTCGTGCGTGCATTCAATTGAATAAGCTGAATTATGGCGACGGTCGTCGTCCGGGTTGGAAAGGGTGAGGGGGGGGGCGTCGTCGATATCTGGTGTGACAATCAACCGTTCACAAATTCGGGCGGCTAGCGTGTGATTACTTCATTATACTGTGAAATTCGCGGGGCCGACAGGGACAAGAGCGAGAGAGAGCTGGTGGGATGAGGCGGAGAAGGGGGACGGAGGGGCGTAGGGGCAATGAGGCGAGCGCTGGCGAAGCATGGCGGAGGCGATGGTCGCTGAGGTGAGAGACGGCGAGCGATAACGCGCGGGTGGGTGTGGTTGGGGATGTGAAAGGTCAACGACCAAGTCGCGGAGCTGAGAGAGGAGACGTGTAGGCTCAAGAGATTGATGTACGACGTTTTTATGCTAGAGTAATTGTCGATTAGTATGGTAAATGATGAGAAAAAAAAGAGACTTTTGTATGAAATAAAAGTCTAGGAAGTCATAATTGTGTAAATACAAAATAACGTTGTAGTTGGTAGAGCAGAACATATTAACCTACGGTGCGAAAGGAATATATAAAAAAAAGGTGAGGTTGGAGGTTAGTTATTTTAATTATGGAGAAAAGAAGTCATAACCCCGTTGGACTCAAGTAAACTGAGGTGGTCTTGATTGAAAATTGGACATCGAATTATTGTGATATATAGTAGAACAAAGTCACAAAGTAGGCAAGTACAGGGAGAAATGCATGTTATTGATTTAGCCATGAATCGTGTGTATTTGAGTCAAAAGTGACGTTTGGAATAGAAAAAAAAAGAGCACAGCAATAACATGAGTGGGCTTTTGGAATCATCAGAGCATTCGTCTTGTAACCAAAGGAAACCACGAAAATTCCGATTAGAATGGCCGGCCCGAGAATCGAATCCCGACCTCCCGATTGTGAATCTAGCGCGCTATGCACTTAGCCACTTCACTTTGTTGACGAAATATTATTGTATGAAGGAAAATTGCTTCTTTCGCACAACTAACTATCTGGAGCCTTTTTCTCGCGTATAAAAATCTCTAACGTAAAATATCGGCGCATAGTTTTAACGATATATACTAATAATACTTATCAGTATTTATTATCGATATATGTTCGGTTTTGAAAAAACAAATCTTGTCAAAACGAGGGTGGGCGACGGTGGTCGAATGGCGTCGGAGGCGCTGGGGCGGCTACTGGCGGACCCGGGTGGATGGGAGGGGGCGGATTTTTAAATTGCATCGGCGCGAGCGATGCGTGTAGCGCGCTCATGCAAGGGAGGGATTCGATTATGACTTGGACCCGCGACGGGGCGCGTGAAGAGGGGCGGCAGGGCGCGCCCACAGGGCCGAAACGGACTGAAATGGGCCCAAACGCTCTGACCATGAAAAGGAAGAAGCTTGCTATCTCAAAATTTGCTGCTCAGTGCAGTGTAGTTGGCCCACGAGAGGGCGTTTCCCATTCGAATCCCGCTTAAACCCTGTTCGATATGTGACGTGATGGCCATTTCACGATTCTTATTTTTGGAATCTAAGCTGCCAAAATCATTCATCATTCTTTCTCTACTAGGTAAAGTAGGAGAAAGTGCGAAATAGGCTTCAGGGATTTAGGAAGGACCTGGACCGAGATGGGTACAAGACTTTTTGATACGTCTCTAGAAACAGCAGCCGGACGTAGCAAGTTGAGGTCTAGAGATAGAATGGTATAGTCCCCTCAGCGAGACAGGATGTACTGAGAGGTTTCACGTGTCCGCTGGACGTAGGTGATTGTGAAGTCTGAAGAAGGCTGTCGCGACATAAAAACACGAAAATTGTGAAGTGGCGGAACTGGAAGGTACTGAGAGAAGAATATAGATAAACGTAAATCCTATTTCAATCTCACTTGTTAGGTCAAAATTTGTTACGTTTCGGGAACGAAGTAAGTGATGAATTTTTAACAAACTTTTATTATGAAATGTAAGTTTCTACTGCAAACCTTTGAGACTCGTAGAGCGATACGCTGACAAACTGAAATGGATATATTGATTAACACATACTTTTTCTAAGATTGATAATTATATATACTACACTTGACACGATGCCTCGCCCAGTTTGAAAATAATGGATTTTATTGTGTAATACAGAGAATATACTTGAAGATAAATATAAAAACAGATTAGTCAATTTCTTAATTTATACAGTATACATTCACAAGAAGTTATTGCTGCAAACGCTGGCATGAAAATTGCAGGAAATATATTTTGTGCTAGCATTTCGCGTCATTTCGACCCCATGTGCTGAGCTGCGTGGCGCTGTGTCGGCGGCAAGAGATGGTGACAAGCGGCGGAGGAAGCAGGGGGTGCAGCACGGCCCGAGTTTGTTAGAGAAACGTAATTTCCGCTGACAGTCCGGGTGGATGGTGCGTCATGATCCTCATGCCGTTCAGGAATGGCCCTGACACAGTTGAAAATTGCAGTTAAAAGCCAGGTGGATAGTCGTATTCTGTACAACCTTCTTTCCGCCCTCTGGGTCATTTATAATAGCGTCTTTTAACTTTTGATTCGAAGTAGATGCTTTGCTCGTATGAGTTGCTGCATAAGGTAATTCATGGTTGACGTGATAAATTCAAGTGAGTCAAGTTTCCACCAGAACGCTTTGAGAGGTGGAGTAGACTCCGTTGAAAAATTTCTTATATCCATGAGTAATGGATTGGTTATTATATGTTAATACATCCATGGACAGAGGAGTTTCTCGGCAAATTTGAGACAACGTGTGAAATGTAAGAGTAGCAAATTGACGACATGAATAAGGTATTTGTTGAGGAGGGGGGGGGGGAATCTCAAGGTCGGTTGGAGCAGTGGGCGGGCAATTGGGTATACAATCGATAACTTTCAGAAGGTTGAGATGTTACACTTCGTATTCAGAATTCACTTCGTAATTGGATCTGCTACTGCAAGGAAGTGTAAAGTCAACCGAAAATTAACGAAGACAGCGAAAGTGGGTCATTAAATCGATTTGGAGTCGAGAAATTTCGCCAGATCTCGTTCAGGAGACAATCCGGCGCTCGCTGCACGAGGCGGCCCCACAGAACGGAGTGCGGAGGCGGCGCCTCGGGTATCGCCGATCCGCGCTCATTTGTCGCTATTGTCCTGGCGGCCCGCTAGAGCGCGCCAGCTGCAGTAATTACCAAGCTTCAGCCGTCGTAATTAAATTGAGCCCACCGCCGACCTCCGTCGCCGCGTCTTGGGAGGTGCCGCGCCGCGCCAGCCCGCTGCCGTACGTCCGCTCGCTAACCCCCCCCCCCACTTTCCCCTCCCATTCATCCACCACCCGTCACTTCGCCTGTTCGCTCATTCAATCCACCACTCATCACTTCGTCTTCCCATCCACGCAACCTACGTGCCCGTTACTTTGTACTCAATCCACCACCCAACCACCCCACTTCGTCTGCCCGCCCACTTAACCCACCATCCGTCTCTTCGCCCGCCCGCGCATTCACCCACCTTCTGTCTGCTTACCCGTCCGCCCACCAGCTCAACTCACCAAAGTTACTTCACCCATCCGTTCATCGCACTCTGCCGCACCTCTGCCGCTCGCCTGCCCTCTTCCTGCCGGGCGGTCCAAAAGCCGCGTCTGTTCCTGTTCTCGCGTCCGACTTGCGCCCGATCGCCGTTTTCGTCCACCTAAATCCTCTGCCCGTTTTCGCATGCCCATCCCCTCAACCTCTCGATCTCCTCACCTTCCCGTGTTCTAACTTTTGGGCTCCTCCTTTGCGCTTACCCTTTCGTACTGTCACTCCCATTTCCTCCCAAACTCCCACATACCCGCGCACCCTTCCCACGTGACCCCTCCCCATCACAGGACCTCCTCGCAACTTCTACTTTGCGCCCCCAGCGTCTTTTGCCCTCACCTTTCGCCACTATCCCATGCCCTTTCACCACACTCCCACCCACTTCCCGCCTACCTCCCGCTGTGGTTCCCGCCCTCGCCTCGAACGCCCACGCCTTCATCCCCCCACCGCCCCCATCCCCCCCATTCACCGCCACCAATACGCCAGCCAAAGCGCACAATGCCTTCCCGAGGAGCCGAGTTCGCTCGGAGGACCTCCTTCCAACGCTCCGCATATTGTCTCGCGGAAGAACGCGAGGGGCTGTCGAGTCGCGAGTATATGGCTTAGACGAGTTGCTGGAGACTTTGACTACTCTTTGGGAGTTGGGCGTTCTTTTGCTTTCTTTTGGACTTTCGCTATGCGATCGATTTTGTCGGTGAAACTTTTAAAGTGTTCGAACTTTTGAGGATAAGGGGATATAGATTTTAGAAGTGAAAATAGGAGTGTTATGATTTGACACTTTTTGCTTGTGAGAAAATCATTTTCGAAATTATTTTTTGTGAGTGTGTTGAATTTTTCGTAATGAGCTGGGGTGGGAGATTGTCAACAGCAATGTTTCCTCGAAAATTATAACCACACTGTAAACATAATATTTATACGCAATTTCAATTTCACATAACTTAGTATGACTCGTATGTACTAATTCCAATAAAAATCAACTTTTGTCAGTAGTAAGTCCTACTCAAATATAGTACATATGCTTCCCACACAGTGAACTCAGTAATTATTGGACGTAGTTGACAAAAATGATTATGTAGCTTACATAATTGACGTAATTGATAATATGATACGCAGTTTAGGTTTTTTTGCTGTTCACGAGCAATAGACAATTACTATTTTTTTTCATTAATACATAATCCGGTTGTGGCTCATCAAATACATGGTTGAGAAAGAGTAAGTGGTGTATTATGTTTTTGTCTGTTAATTAGTAATCATTAAAAAATAGTTACAAACATTTTATTTCTTGGTCAACTAGATTTAATCTACTAATTAATCCAGTCCTAAGTAAAAAAAATTGGCTGGGAAATCTCCGAATAAAATATTAAAATTATGAATGTACTAGTAATTGAAAACTAACAGTAAATTAGTTTCACCTCGTCGAAGTTTTCACGTGAAATGGAGTTCATTGTGTTGAGTGGATTGCTGTTTTCAAATCTACGAACAATATTAATGACGTAAATAACTATTCGTATGTGCGTCCTAAAGCGTTTTTTCCAGTACCACTCCAGTGCATCTACGTGGTTGTTCGTCGTTATTACTCGCACTGTTAACTATTGTTCTTCGTTAAAACGGGTTTGTATCGGACGTATATACACTGCGTTCCATCTCTATTGTGGAGCGATGAGCTTTGGGCATTTATCCCTCTTTTATGAACGAGGCATCAGTAATTCTCATTTGAACTCGCTTCCAACAAAAGTGTTTTGTTGGAGGATGCCGTCGATTTGTCGCAAGTTGTGCACTACATGTTACGGTTGCTCTGTGGCAATGTTACATGCAATACTTAGCCGTACTGATATGTCTTCATGAATATAATACGTCTGTAAGATTAAACTCGGTAGGGAACACGTAGGTGAGTCTTGCCGACACGTCGATGTTTTGGGGGATAATTTTGTATGATAAAATGTACGATTTTGACGTTTTAAAAACTTTATTAACCGCCTGGAAAAATTACTTGGTTAGAAAGTGGGCAAATAAAACTAAAATACTTTGCTTTTATTTTATTAGCTATCAATGTCTCACTGTACTACATTTTTAATGAGTTATTTTACATTCACAATTGATTAAATTTTTACTTATTTTACTTTTTTTTAAATGTATATTGCATTATATTTGTCAAATAAATTTTGATGCACGTATATTTATCATCGCATGATGTGTACTCTAGTACAATGGTTAATTTTAGGGAATTTATGTTTTCTATTGTGTACATATTGAAATACGTAAATATTAAAGCTACTGTATTATACCCCGAAACAATATTACGCTCAAGTACCACACATTCTCTCATGAATTTCTCAGCCATAAATATTTTTCATAATCCTTATTATTATTTGTATTATGCTTTCATTGTGTGCTAATTGTTTCTGTTCTTTATTTACGGCTTCATTAAAAAATAGGCTCTCAGAAACATTGAGTCGTACAAAATTCTTCTGTTAAATATTGTTTTTTTTCTCTCTCTTTTAGTTGTTGAAAATATTGAAATTGTAAATGAAACCAAAACTCATGCACTTTGGAGCACACTACCATCAATAGATTCAAAGTCAGCTGTTCAAACTTCTTCCCATTCCGAACTCTACCACGTCCTCTTGCCTATCCTATCCTTATATCCCTTTATTTTCTGAGCTTTCTTTCTCATTCTCCCTTTCACATCTTCATCTCTTACACAATGCCTTCAGCCTAACCGTCGACGCCCTCATATCTTCGCCCAGCTTCACCCACCCCATTATTGTCGCAACTCTCTCCAGAATTGAACCCTTCTGCCTTGCTGTCTCTCGCCTCGCATTCTTTACTTTGTTTTAAACCGTATGTAATAATACACATTCGTATTATCCTTACCTCCATTCACTTGCTCCCTATCTTTCCGTATTAAACTTTCCCCACTAGAAAGGTTTAGTCAATTTGCTGGGCTTTCATACCATAAACTGCATTGCCGTTACCTCCACTCCCTACCTTTCTCTATTAAACGTATATCACCTTTGGCGCATTTCCTCCATGGAACGGCGTAGTTTGTTCGCTGGGCCCTCCCGCGAGGTGTGTGCCAGTTGCTGGACCATCGCGACGCGAATGTGACGGATTGTGTGTGGTGTTTGCAGACACGGACAACCAGCGCGTCATCATCCACGTGAAGGACGTGAACGACGAGCCGCCGTACTTCATCAACCGGCCGCTGCCCATGCAGGCGGTGGTGCAGCTGAACGCGCCGCCCAACACGCCCGTCTTCACGCTGCAGGCGCGCGACCCCGACACTGACCACAACATCCACTACTTCATCGTGCGCGACAGGAGTGAGTAGGCAACTTGCACGAAAGACATTTGAAATAAATTAAAAGGGAAGTCAGGCCTGAAGTCTGATTCTTGCTGGATAGTAGAATTTATTAATTAAATTTAATGGGATGAAATTTTTCTTACTTTTAAGACTACTTAGTTAATATATTTAAAAAACAAACAATATAATGGATATTTATTTTATTAAACCAATTGATGTACGCGAAAAGTATTGATACATGCGGTATAAGCGCATTGTAAAAGTCAAACACTCTGTTTGTAAATATTTGATAATTAATTGTATATTTTTTAACTGTTGGGATGTAAAACATTATAACCCATACGGGGACAGTTTCGAGCTGTAAGCAAATTAATATTTTGGTTTAAGTGAGTTACATAAAAGGGTTAACTATGGTCGGCACATTGAACAATATATCCTTCTGCATAGATACCAAGTGGGATGAACCAACAAATTTAAAATCACAAAGGTAGAATTTTAAAATGTTTTTTGATGTAACTCAGCTAACTAATGACCAAGAAGTTATAAAGCGACAGTAATGAGTAAGTTAGAGTAAGTTTATGAGTAAGTTACTGAGTAAGTAAGTTAATGAGTGAGTGAGTTAATGAGTGAGTGAGTTAATGAGTGGGTAAGTTAATGAGTGAGTACCTTAGTGAGTACGTTATTGAGTGAGTAAATGAATAAATAAATGTTTAAATGTGTAATTATGTGGGTTGTCGTGTATGCCGCCCGAGCCCTTCCCTTGGCGCGAGGGGCCTGGGCTTGGGCTTGCGCTTGGGCCTGGGCTTGGGCTGACGCAGCGGGCTGACGGGTTGCAGCGGGCGGACGCTTCGAGGTGGACGAGCGGTCGGGCGTGGTGCGAACGCGCGGCACCGACCCCTTCCAGCTGGACATGGAGTACGTGCTGTACGTGAAGGCCGAGGACCAGAACGGGCGCGTGGACGAGCGCCGCTTCCAGTCCACGCCCGAGGAGCGCCTCTCCATCGTGGGCGGCAAGCGCGCGCCGCAGTTCTACATGCCCAGCTACGAGGCCGAGATCCCCGAGAACCAGAAGAAGGACTCCGAGTGAGTACCCCTGTGCTTGACCGCACGCGACCTCTTTTCTATACCCGGGCATCGAAAGGAATCTTAAGAGGAAATCTCTGCCCCGTCTTTCCGCACTCTTTTCCTCGAGAACCAGTAAAGGAACACCGAGTGAGTACCCATGCTTGAGGACGCACGCTCCCCAGATATCTAAAAGGAGTCTGGCTGAGCATCCTTGCCTCGTCACTCCCCCGACACTGACCACAACATCCACTACTTCATCGTGCGCGACAGGAGTGAGTAGCTAGTAGGCAACTTGTCTCTTTTCCCTGAGAATCAGAACAATTGAGTGAGTATCACCGCCACAACTTTTACAAAACCCTCGATTCATCATCTCTGATCCCAGATAACCTTAATTGCTACCGGGTGAGTACAATCGCCTCAGTAAAGCAGATCCGTGTAACAAAAGTAGTCTTCAATGAGAATCATCGCCCCCAGCGTGTGATTATCTCCCATTTCCGAGAATCAGGAGTCAGAGTGACTAACCCCATCTCTACATACTTTTGTCTTTTAAAATACGAAATAAGTACGTAAACTTAATCCTCTTTAAAGCATTTGTCAAGGTAACGAGAAAATTACTTGCTTTGACCTCAACAGCACCCTACGTCTGAATTGCTAATGAGATTGCATCCTTGTCTTTTAAATGAGAGGGCACCATTGCGTGCAGACGAACCTCGAGCTATGCTGGAAAAAGCAACGAACCCACCCAGCAGTCTCACAGTCGATAAGCAAGGGCAGTCTGTGTAATGGATGCTTCGGAGTAGCGTATCTTTGGGGAAGCCACTTTCTTAGCTGCGAATCTACCTATATTTTCCACGGGTTAATCAAAGTCATGACCGAACAAAAAGAACAAACATTGCCGCTCACTCATACTACTGTTTTTCTTTCTTAAAATTTTCGAACATTTTGTTGTTACAAATTTAATTCTATCCAATCATAAAATTCATGTTATGCTAATTTTTTATGTTAAATAAGCTACTGGGTTTACTCGCTCAGATTGTCTTGGGGCCGATCTCAGTGCAAAAATTGATCAAAGAAAATGCCCTAATTGCGATATTTGTTATTTAAGAGCAGATGTGTACATTTTTCTTTCATAATCTCAGTTTTTTCATAAAAATATGGAATTAATGTTCTTTACTTGACGCAAAAACGTGGGCTTATTTTCTACAAAATTTACTTTGCAGCCGATTCTGCGGTTATAAATTACGGCGAGGCATTGCCGTGGTGCTTTTGACTCTGCTGGGCGTGCTCCGAGGGCAGTGAACGAGGGGAAAAGGAGTGTGTTCTCAAAAAGTTCTGAGGTGGTGATCGATAGTATAAATAAATTTAGTACCTCGTTTCATTGCGGATAGTTCAATTAATTTATTTTTTATTAATGAATTATTTTGATAAGTAAATGTCTGGACAACAGCGAATCAACTATTATATAAAAATTGTTTAGGGTGAATAATTTGTGGCAAATAATTGTTAAAGAAATATTTTTTAGATATTCTTGTCACTTCGATTCTGAATTAAAATGTGTGTTAATGATTTCATTATTTTGGGTTCCTCTATGGAAATATAAACAGTAACCTACACTTTTTGAGTAGTTATGTGCATAAAATTGTCTGGAACGGTTACCTATATTCTCCTAATTCTTTCAAATATATTGCAGCATGTGGGTGTTCTGCTAAAGTTGACCTAATAAATGTAATTTTTGAATGTTCTATTTATTCACCGGTAAGAGTAGAACATTGTGGAACGTTTTATGAACTTCTGAAGATCTCCGTCGTGTATTTTATCCAATCTTCTCCAACTCTGTCGCGGTGTATATCTTTCGTGAACTTCCAAGTTGTGAAAGTCCCAGGCGGGCAGTGTTCTGGAAACACATCCTTCTAAATAGACTGAGATGATAGCGTAGAGGCGTGGCTGTCGGAACTGGCTGGGACCTGCTTGGCGCCCAACGGCCAAAGTTCTAAAGACATTCTGCGCCGCTGTTCCCGCTGCGACCTGTAGGCCTCGCGTTTCTGTAATGGGGCATATTCGTCATTATCTTTTGAGTCACCTTAACCAAATAGGAAGTAATTTCCTTAGAGTTTAGAGGTTTCCCGTAAGGTTGTTCTTTCCCTTTCCTGCCTGCTGATGTACTGGTAGTTACGACTGAAATTCGTTTTTTACGTCTCGATTACAGGCATTGGAAATGTTTGGCAATCCACAAAATTTTTCATATCAAATTCTATAATTAATCTGCTGGAACAATATTTTTTAAATTTAATATTATCAACATTCAGTTACGCGTTAGTTTAATAGTGTTTCAAACGTAATTTGCATTTCAGTTTTACTTTGTGAGGAACATACGGAGGTCTTCTTTTGCAGGAAAATCCATGAAAATGACCGTCCCCTAAATTCTAGACATTTTTCTAGAGTGCAGCTATTAGAAAAAATCCTGATAAAGTAGGGATAACTAATTAACTCGAAAATAATTCTATTGGAAATAAATCTATCAGCGCGCCCAGCCGAGCGGTGGAAGCTTCTCCTTCGTCAGAAGAGCAATTTTCGACTAGTTATTAATTCATTCTTTCCGAAGCTTGTAAATCACGGCTCGCTTCAGCATCCACCTAACATATCAAAGTGCCACGAGGCAGCACCACAGTCGCGGCGCTGGCGGGCAGGGGGCGGGCACCCCGAAACTCCCGCAACTCCAATTAAGGGCGATACCGGAGGGCGCTAAAAACACCCAGTGCTCAAAAAGTGTCCGCGGCCTCTCGAGGGAGAAGGAAAAGGGGCACCCGTTCCACCGCGACCATCCCGCCCCGACCACCCCCGCCGCTTTTCCCCTCTCCGCTCCGTCCCTCCCATTCCCTCTCCTCTCCGCTCCTCCCCTCCCCGCTCCGCTCCTTCCTTCCCCGCTCCATTCCTCCGTGTTCCATACCTCCTTACTCAGATCATCCCCAGTCCGCCGATTTCCACCGCTTCCCTCGCCGCTTCGGTTCTTTCCTCACCGCTCCACTCCCCCTCACCCACTCCACTCCTTTCCCCGCTCCGCCGACTCTCCGTTCCTTCCCTCATCGCTCCGCTCATCCCCCGCTCCGTCCCCTGCCTGCTCTTCCCTCTTTCACTCTCCTCTTCCGCACCGCTCCGCTTTACACCGCTTATTTCATAGCGAGCTCTCCTCTCCCGATGCCCCTCCCACTCCATGCCACCCTGTGTCCAGCCTTCTTAATCTCACCCCGGTCCCTCGTTCTCACGACGCACCTCATCCAGCCCGCCTTCATTATCCGTCTCAGCCCCGCCACTGCCGCGCCGTCATACTCCTCCTCGCCACTTCTCCTCTCCAACCTCACCCCATCCCCGCCCGGCCACTCCACACCCCGCCCTGCCCGTCTTGCACCGCTTCAGCCCGCGTGCCCTGACACACCATCACCGCCCCGCTCCGACTCTCGCCCCGCTACGCTCGGCTGGCAGCGCCGTGGCCCGCGTAACACGTAGTTAGCCGAGTTCGGTGATGGATGCGGGCCCACCGAAGTTGTCGCAACTCCGCGGCTCCGGGCGCGATGGAGATTTATACACGCGTGCCAACTTTCCCGCCAGGGACGCCCCGCAGGGTTGCCACTACGCAGGAGTAATGAGCTTCGCACGCAAAGTTGGCTGCTCCTTGGAGGTCATAACTTCGTTTCCCGGCGGAGGCGCCGCCGGTACAAACGCGACCGGCGGGGGTGGGTGAAGGGGGGTGGGAATACGACGCGTCGCGGTCCGAACTTCGAATCCGCGCGAGCACGTGTGCGTGGGAAGGGCGCTGGCCATTGTTGCTGGTTCTTACCGTGGGACCTCCAGCGCGAAGTTCAGAGCAATCGATGATTCAAGTTGGAAGTGGTGTTGGAGGACTTGGACCGTTGTAATTACCGCGGTCGACTAATACTCGCGTAATGTATTGCGCCGCGCCCCTGGAGGATGAAGAAGTGCAACTGGGACAAATGGGAGGAACGAGCGGGAAAGAGGGACGGCGCGCGTAGGAACTCTGCTGAATCGACCACGGTGTGTTTGGGAGAGAGGGGGACGTGGAGGACAGCTCAATCATGCGTGGTGTCCTGTATACTACTGTCTAATGTCATGCTCCAAATGTATCATTTGCGCAGTGGAAATTGCGGTGCTTCAAGTGTGGGAATTCAGACGGGGAACATTAACCAATCATGTGGACGAATTGTATTGTCACAGTTTTCTTTCTATCGGTTTTTGTGCTTCGTATTTTAGTTTTTCAGCCGATACATTTTGAAAAAAGAACTGATTGAATGATGATGATCGATTCGATTTGATGATGATCGAATGAGAAACAGCCGAACTGCGAGTTTATATTTACGTTTAGTGTGTGAAATCAACAGGTAGTTGCGAGAAAATATCTTATTATATTTTTTCACGAAATAAGGGAGGACCTTATTTGTAGTGGAGTTTTATCTGCAAGTACTGTATACAATGATAAATGCTATTTGTTCACTTTAAGAATGTCTGAGGCTCAATAAAGAACTTATCGTTGTTTCATTAAGTTCTGTTCCTCACAGCACATGTATGCCTTTGGAATATCAAGCAAGTACGGAAGGAAGGAAGGATGTTGTTTCAGTGATATTGTAGTGAATGCACACTCTTCTGATCCCATAATTGATAACTCTCTAATATTGCTTATTATTATTATTATTATTATTATTATTATTATTATTATTATTACTTGATTTTATCATGAATGAATCATATTTGTTTCACGAAGTTATTTGTTCCTTTCGTAGTTCACTGTGAGTCACTGTTGTAAACATTCATGCCCGGGATACGAAGGTCTAGACGGCACCTAAACGGACTGCAACGCTCCCATCAGCGTCAGCAAACTTAAAAGTGAACAAATACTAACGTGGATAAGTAAAAACTTAATGCGTGTTGTTACGTTACCATATGCGTGTTTGTGTTGCAGCATCATCTCCGTGAAGGCCAAGTCGTTCGCCGACCGCGAGATCCGCTACACTTTGAAGGCGCAGGGCCAAGGCGCTGGCACCTTCAACATCGGGCCCACGTCTGGCATCGTGAAGCTGGCCAAGGAGCTGGACTTCGAGGACCTGCGCCAGCCGCATGTCTACTCGCTCATCGTCACCGCCACCGAGGATTCCGGCGGCTTCTCCACTTCCGTCGAGGTACGATGCAATCGGGCTCTGTTTAGGCCCTTGAGATACGCCAAGAAACATGTGCATTCACGGGAGTCCAGTGCTTTGAAAGATAGTTACAAACAAAAAAACCCGAAGAACACAGTGAAAGAAGGCATGTGATTTCATAAAAAATTAATGCTATTAATTTATTATTATATATTTAATGATAGGGGTAATTTAATGAAACAGGCTTCTCATTGGGAGAAGAAGTTCATTTGCAGTGTTACAGCAATAATTAATCGGTAATTTCACTATTTTCACTTACTTTCATTTGACACCGATAACATATAAAATATATTTTAATTGTTTTCCAAGCTTTGCTTCACCACCTCAAACCTATTGCTTTTTGCATCGTAGATTTAACTAACCAGAATGTATAAAAAGGTTTATTGTGCAAATGTAAAATATAAGAGTGAGCGATATTTACACTGGAATAATTAGAAACCAAATAGGAAACTAGAATGATTCACGAAACCGACAACAAATACATATTTGCTTTATTCGTCTTTATTCGTACACTATGGATAAACCATGTATAAATAATACCATCGTATACTTTCATACAATATACAATCGTATTCCAAATCATTGCGTATTTCAAACGGAATTTCATTAGGTTAGGTTCCTTTGAATAATGTGAAAACAGCAGTTACTGGAAGAAACCAAAATATCCGGTAATCAAACTCTTGCCGTCACAATCTGCACAATAACAAGAATAGTTTCAAAGAACACAGAACAAAGAATCAATGAATTCGAAACGTAATGGCATGCAGGGGAGCGCATTATACGTTCACGTGAAACGACAAAACGAATGGCTAAAATTTAGGGTTTACCGTTCCTGCATTCTCTGTTTTGTTTCCTTTCACGCGCTCTGGCGCAACTGCGGCTGAACTTTGTGGCCGCGAGGGCTCTCGCGCGCGCTGCCACCCCGCGATGCAATTGTTTTCTGTCGGCTAGTGCGGGTCTCGCTGCTCCAATTGCCCGTTTCTGAATGCGCCCGCCGAATCCACGGGGCCGTGTTTACCTTACCGCGGTTGGAAGAAGTGGACGTTGATTGACCAATTACAGAGAAAAACGAGATTTCCAAAATGAAATTATTAAACTCATTTGGCTTTAAAATACTAATATTTTGTGAAACTACTATTTAAGCTGTATTTTATTTTTCGTTCTTCTGTGTTAATAAGTAAGGGGGTTTAAAGTAATATTTACTCCTTCTATATGAATATTCTTAGAAATGTCTTTATGAAATGTACTGTAGCTCTCTCAACTTCCGAATTTTCGAGTTCCCCCAATTTCCGAATTTTTAGGGCATACCAACCTATCAATTGGCATATTTAGTTCTAAGAATAAATTACTGAAGAATGGGCCAGATAGCATAATAACAACTAAAGTTTTTCTTTCGATGATGAATATTCTTGCGACGAGTATAATAATATGACATATCTACGTTTGACATATAATATACAATAAAAAATAACAATATAAAATACGCAATCTCTTTGTCAAAAAAGTAAAGCGCCCGTTTAGGAAACCCTGCTTCGTGCGTGAAAGTGGCCGAGGTGGGTTCCCGCTAGCGTCGCCGCGCCGCGCCGCGCGCTAGGAGCCGCGAGTGGCCCTGGGAGCCGTGCGGAATCCGCCCCACCCGCGTATCTCCGCCATCTCGACCCGGTGCCTCCGTTTCCCACGAGGGTCGGTGCAGTAATCGCGCGCAGGGCAATTAGCCGACGGAACGCACGGCGGCATGCATATGCGATGGGCCGCGCCGCGCCGAGTAAACGCGTCATCGCGCCTACGTAGCCGAGTAAACGCGTCGCCGCGCGTACGTCTTGGCGACTGCGGGCTCTCGGTCTTGCGCGCGCTAGTGCAGCTCAAAGGGAATAACTGCCGCGTTGGCTGCCGGATCCCTTGGGGAACAGTCGCGTCGCGTCGCGTCGCGTCGCGTCGCGTCATGGGCCTCTCATGAACGGAGAGGTGTGTGTACAATTGGCGATTGATGACAGATACGTACCGTTTCCAGAGGTAGATTTAGATACACGGTCTCAAATCTTTTCAAATAGCGCCCCTCCTTCCCATCTCAGAAGTTGTATTTTGGTAGTTATTTTGTTTATTTATTTTATTTTGTGTAAAAAATGTATTGAAGTTGACAGTCCTCCCATCCTTGTTGTGGGACTAGCACGAAAAGTTCGGTTTCGAATCGTGTGACTTTAACGGAAAAACAACATTTCGCGACAAATCGTAGAGCATATTTGCCGAGTCCTTTCGAATACCAAGCTAAGATTTAAGGTTTTATAAGGCATGTTTGGCATTTGCACAAAAAAACAACCATTTAATATACCCTGAACACGAAAGTAAATATCAAGTGAAGGCGATCGGTTAAGACAAAATATGTGAATATATTATTGTGTGCAAAACGATGATTGAAAGTATTGTGAGATCTCAATCAATTAATTTTGAGTGTTACCAATGAAGGGATGGCCAACATTTTATAATATCCCACGTTGTTTTTAAAATGTACTTGGGGAAATAATGTGCACAGACGTTCTTATTTCTTTTTTGAAAATACGTTTTGATCTAATCGGTTTGTGACACAACATAAATGGTTGGTTCCCGTAATGTACGTCGTAAAGTGCCTCATTTTTAGAACTAACTTGGAAAACAGTTATAACTTACGTTTTTATTTATTTCTCAAGAATGCTTTGGCTACTTAATAAATAATGGAACAATCCCATTGCTGATATCAGCGTGATCTGCAATGTATGACTACTGAAGAAATGAATTCTCTCATTGAACATTTTACGAGTAAAAAAAATAATTTATACTTAGCAATCAGTATTATTTTTACGTTTGATAATCACATGTGTTTGTTCAATGTAATAGGATTTACTTCGGACTGGGAGAAATGCGGTGAATATTACGTGAATGAGGTTAATATTAAAACAACACCTGATCTATTTTTTATCTTGAAGTAACTCTTCTTGTTTACTCATCTGAAGTTTCTCTTTAAGCATATCAAATGATTGCATTTGCTTCACACCGGAAAATGGAAGATTTTTCTTCTTTTAATTTTATGATATAGCTGAATAATTTATTTATTATTTTACTTTTGGTTAATTTTTATGCCACTAATACTTTTACCATTTTTTATATACTCTACACAAAACAGCAACAGTTCTTTATTACTCTGAAATAAGAAATGAATAATGAAAATAGTATATGTTCATGATCGTGAGGTGAGCCCTAGCCTTAAGAAAAAGTGCGCTGCCACAACTTAACTGTCGTAAATCAGTGCTAATCGGGTATCCGGAAAACACCAATAGGGAGGTCAACGCCGGACCACAGAGTACGTACTAATATAATTGAAGGGACTGAATTGAAGAATATTTATCCTATACACATTTAGAAACGTATAACAATTATTTTTCTTTGTTTCAAAATATTATTAGTTTTTGAGGTATAGCAGAGCCATGCATTACATTTTCTGAACTGACGGTCTTCCTTTTTTTCTAAACTTCCGATAAGCGTTGGAAGCCGAAACTATCATTAAGGATTCAGAAAGGTTTTGATAATAAAAGTCCTAAACGATGAAACAATAACTACTTATATAAATAAAGATGTAAGGAAAATTTACGCTTGGGTTCACTATTGACACCTCTCACTTCCTTGGTATGCGACTTAGTGTCTACGTTACTGGTAGTCGCACTATTGCAATTGACGGGGATCATTCACTCTAGACAGTTGATGTCACCTTCTAGCAAATTATTTCCCACTATTAATTTGCCCCTTCTAGGGACGCAATTAAACCACATCTAAGGATCTATTTATGAAATCCATCTTTGAAACGTAAAAATCAAATGGTATTAGACCTACCGTCAAAGATCACTTGCGTGCATATTATTCTCCACAATCACAATTCGTAAAATCATGAAACCACTGGTTTTGTCGTGTCCATATGTGTACGCAGGCTAAACTTTTGAACGGCCTCCTAAGAGGTAACATTGGCAGTTCTCAACCCCTCCCCTTTTGTCTTGCAGCTGACTATCCGCGTGACGGACGTGAACGACAACGCGCCCAAGTTCGAGCTGCCGGACTACCAGTCGCACAACGTGGACGAGGACATCCCGCTGGGCACGAGCGTGCTGCGCGTCAAGGCGACGGACGCTGACAGCGGCGCCAACGCAGAGATCGAGTACCTCGTCTCCGACGACCACTTCAGCGTGGACGCGGCCGGCGTCATCTCCAACAACAAGCAACTCGACGCCGACAACAACAACGCCTATTACGAGTTCGTCGTCACGGCCAAGGACAAAGGTCAGCTTGTCTGAAACAACTTACGCAAGAAATCCATTTAATTTGGTTTTACCAATTGTGTCGTGTTTACTCCAAGGACTTGTTAGTTATTTGTTCTCTTTATTAAGAACTGTTTCCTGATATGTGGAAGCATTTCTTAGAATCTAAGGAATGGGGAACAGTGAACTGAATTCTTTAAAAAAATTTGATATTGCAAATGAGTAATATTATTTTCATAATTTCTTTTAATGAAAATGTATAAAGTGAAGGGGTTGGACAACATTAAGATCTCTCTCATTTCACTCATTCAACATGAAGATCTTAATATTCTCAATATATCTCCATTAGTTCTTTGCCCCAAAATACAAACATTATGATCCAAATGTATTATTCGTTTAATGCCAGCGGCCGTTTTTTAAGATAGGTTCCCAAACAGTTGAGCTACGCCGAAAACGGCATCGCTCCCCAAAATGTATTCTTCAGTCAGCCATATGAGTTGGTGCGCAAGCTTATCCCTCATGTGCCATACTGTTAGAGGTTAGAGATATTTTTCAAAGTAATATAGTATGTTTGGATTTCTTTGCTAGAAAAATGGGGTGGGGACCCTGCACCGAAGTAAATTTGTGAAAATCTCTATAATGAAACTAGCACGTTTGTATTAATTTCAGTGTAATTATCGTTCTTTTTAAGACGACCGGGCTTTCTCCGGTCGTTTAACACTAAGGTGAGCATATTTTTCTGAGCGAACGACTGGTATTGTGTAGGCAAAACTATAAAATCAAATCTGTACTTCGGGTGTTAATGGAAATTAGTTGTTTATAACCTAGAAGAGGAAATAACTAATTCAAATGTTGTTAAGCACTTTTTAATCGACCACGACCGTCGTATCAGGCACGGGGCACTGGCTAAAATAAGATGGTCAACCGAGTGTGAAGCGTTAGTCTGTTCGTGAGGGATTCTCTGGCATAAAAATGCGTTAGAAATTATGCGTTGCCTAGACTCAAGGTTGTTTTACATAAATCGGGAAGGCCGGAGCCTTCTCTCAGCAAAGCGTAGCGAACTGTCAGTTTAGGTCACGGGCATCGTCGCGGTGTATACATTACCCGTAAATATTTTCTGGAATAAGGGCGGAGCCATTTTAACAGCATTGGGTATGGATTAATTAGGGCCCCCAATTCAAGGGCGGATCCAACCGATCATTTTGTAGTGGGCCATCATACATTTTTTGTTAAATAATAAACATAGTTGTTATTATATTGTATATTTTTTATATACTGTAGATATGATACTGTAGAATATTATTGTTTAAATAATTACATAATTCGAACATAAATAAATATTTAAATCAATTTTGCTAAATAATGAAAGGAAAACAGAAAAGTCTTGGTCTTTTAGGGGGGGAGGACTTAATCCCAAGAACCTTATGCATCAGCTTTCCCTATAATTTTTTCCCTTTTTTTATCCCTTTTTTTCCAAGAAATAGTGAGATTCACATTTTATCCATATCACAAACACAAGATGAAAAATGGGTGGATTTATACAAAACCTTTTTGTCATGTAGTCTATCAAAATGACAAAGATTAGAATCATCAATGTTGCCACAACCCCTTCAAATACTACAAGATCTCACAAAAAATAATTAAAGTTTTTGAGAAAAACTATTCCTCTTTTGAATATAATTTTTGGGAAAGAATGAAAGACAATAGAGGTAAAAATTAAGTACATCAATGAAAACTAGAATTCTGAAATGTATTAAGTACCTAGGATATTATGTGGTATTTATTGAGAAAATAGACTTTAATTCTCAAAGAATCTTAAAGTGATGCAGCGTAGTTCTACATACCAAATACCTTTGACACATGTGATATATGATATACACAAGTTTATTTTGGTTTACTAATTTTAAAGCTTGGTTTAGTTTTACTAGTTTTAAAACTTATAGTAGCATTTTCCCTCTCACAAGCATTGTGGTGGTGCTCTTAAAGTTTCAAAATTATCTTGTTTTCTTTCTTGCTCTTGAGAAGTGTAATTGACTAATAAGAAGTGAGATTATATTGCTTGAATCATGAGTTGTCTGTTTTCATTCCAACTAATATCCTTCATGGTTAGCATCATAGTAGTTGTGGTGAGTTACGACTTGAAAACAAGTGTGTAATTTTGGGTCTGTGTAATTTCCTCAATTAAAAGTGTGGACGATACTGTTGCTTTAGATTACTGGGATATATCATTGGGTAACATTTTTCTTTATTTTTATTTCAGGCGAACCATCAAAGACTGGTACAGCTACAGTTCGCATCTATACAAAAAATAAAAACGATGAAGAACCAAAGTTCTCTCAACAGGTGTACACACCTAATGTGGATGAAAATGCTGGACCAAATACTTTAGTGACAACTGTGGTAGCTTCAGACAAAGACGGTGATAATGTTAGATTTGGATTTGTGGGTGGGGGAACATCATCTGGTCAGTTTGTGATTGAAGAAATTACTGGTGTAATTCGACTTCATGGCAAAGCAATCACACTGGATCGGGACAAATATGAATTGAATGTGACTGCTATGGATGATGGTGCATGCTGCATGAATGGAGATACGACAATTCACACAAGCACAGCTGTAGTTGTTGTGTTCATTACTGATGTAAATGACAACAAGCCAGTTTTCAAGGAATGTAGTACTTATTATCCAAAAGTGGAGGAAGGTGCTCCAAATGGAAGTCCAGTTATTAAAGTAAGTTCTTACAAAATAAATTAATGAGTGAAGTCAAAACTACTTTGAAGTTCACTAATGCAGTTACTGAATGTATAATATAAATATAAAAATACTGGATATTTTATTGTATGATAAATAGTTTATTCCAATTTAAAATTATGTAAAAATGAAATTCAATTTCTATTTTATTTTAAGAAATAGTAACAGCAATGTCCTTGTAAATCTTATAGAAGAACTATAAAATTATGGTTTTGTTGTATTGAGTACATATTTAATACACAGTTAAGGAAAGTATTTTCAAGTTGTGTTTTTACTGGAAGCCTTAGGTGACTAATTATTCGAGAATAGAATCAAACAGTAAGAAAAAAATTACAAGATTTTAGTGTGAAGAATTAACATTAACAAACTCTCTACCACTTGTATCTTGATTAATAAAAGAAGCTATTTGTTTTAACAGGTGCATGCTACAGATGAGGACAAAGGTGTAAATGGTCAGGTTAAGTATTCTATTGTTCAGCAACCAAATCAGAAAGGTACAAAGTTCACTGTAGATGAAGAAACTGGCGAAGTTTCCACCAACAAGGTACACATGAGACTTTATATTAATTTTTGACAATTGACTTTGTGTTTTGTTATAAAATTACCTGTAAATAATAAATGTTTTTACAGGTGTTTGACCGAGAAGGAGACGATGGTAAATTTGTATCTGTGACTGTGAAAGCAACTGATCAAGGAGAACCTTCTCTAGAAGGTGTCTGTTCATTTACAGTAGAAATTACAGATGTGAATGACAATCCACCTCTGTTTGACCGTCAGGTAACCCTTCGATTTCAGCCACAAAGAAAATTTTGCTTCTGCTTCTGCTTGAAGTTTGCATTTATATAATTTTCAGTTTGAAATGAAATCTGCTTTGTGTATTTACTAATCTTTAGTGTGAGTTCTTTCAGTTTTCTGATGCTCCTTGGAACTTTCAGGCTACATAAACAGTTTCATTGTACTGTCATTTCATTGTTAACCAATTGTTTATTTATTTGTGTCTGCAGAAATATGTGGAGAATGTCAAGCAAGATGCCAGTATTGGCACTAATATATTGCGTGTGTCAGCTTCTGATGAAGATGCTGATAATAATGGAGCTATTGTGTACTCTCTGAGTGCTCCATACAATCCATCAGATCTTGAATATTTTGAGATTCAGCAGGAATCAGGATGGATTGTTTTGCGAAAACCCCTGGATGTAAGTACAAGACCAGTACCTCCTTTGCTGCTGCCATTAAATAAAATTATGTGTTAAAATCCCTTTTGCAGAACAAATGTGTCCCATGATTGTATGGTGGTGAGCATGAGTGTGTGTGTGTGCATGTGTGCCAAATTCTTTACGAAATCTTTTTTGCTTTTTTTGCTGCTGTCTTTTTCTTACTCTTAATATACATATTGGTCTTGGCCAGGGTTTGATTGCCTCCAAAAATTCAGTTGTGCATCCCATTAACCTTTTGGCATTTTTAACCCTGTGTTTCCCAGCTTTTCATTTTGCCAAGACCTAGCTCTATTTATTAGTAGTTGATCTTGTTGGTCAGGAAATCCAAGGCTCCTTCAAATTTGGCATAGCTTAACTTTTTACATTCATTTGAACATTAAAATTTTTAAATTGGTCTGGGGATGAGAGGATGCGGAACACATTTATATCTAATCAGAAGTAATTTGCCTGTAAAACTTTTGCCTGTAAGTACTCAGTCAGGACAGAGTACAAGGGAATCAAACCCTGGCTGTAGTTGATCCAAGATCGCAGCAGTAGCACTCATCAAAACGACTGACTCGAAGGGAAGTCTCTGCCATGCTGAGATAAAGGTGAAGATCAGCCCAAGTGTTTACAGAACAAGACTTAATTATTTTGGTGTGCATTTACAAAACACGTCATAGTCTGTTGTTCCGATTGTGTCCATGTCTTTCATAGCTTCTTGGATTTGTATTGCTTAATTTTCATCACACGTTACTTTACGTTGCTCTATATATTATAAATGCGTACAATATTCACAGTAATTATTATTATATTGAATAAGTTTCCTTTCTACGGCACCAACCTTTTGGTACTTTTGATTCTACTGTATTTCACTGTTGTCTTAAACGTATACACACACTGTATATCCAATACTGCACTTTTTTTGCCATAAGTTTTGAGCAGACTTGGTTACTTGGTTCAGTAGCTTGATCTCAAGTATTGTGCAATAGCTTGGATATACTTTGCAGTATATGTTTTCTCACCCAACGTGACATTTTTGTCACAACCCCTCCCAGAAGAATGACGACAAGCATTTTTTGATATTTTACAGTACTCGATGCTGTGACTTTGTGCTCAGTGTAGTGCGAATCAGCAACTTTTTTTGTGCAGAATTTGTTGTGCCTGGATTCTTTGGAATTCAGAACAATCATTCACTAATTTTGTTGCAACTACTTTTCAGAGCAAGGTGTAAACACAGAGGTTTTTTGTGGAGAATGAAACGACGATTTTACTCGACGATGTACATTTTTTGTCTTTGATCTCTTGTGTTTTTCTTTTTTTTGCCTCCCTTTTCACAGGAGGAGATTGCGAAAGTCTTGTGCAATGTTTGTGAGATTTTGGTCGACTGAGGGTATCAGAGGCACCAAACATTTTTTTGCTATTTCTTTCTCCCTACTGTACTGTGGGAGACCTCTGATATTGCTCGGCTGACATCACATTTGTGACATTTTTTCTTCTGTGTATGGGGCAGCGTACTATTCAGAAATAATGCGTCCGCCAATGTATTTTTGGGCGCCGAATTTGCTTAAAGAGGCGCCATGTTTTTTGAACAGCCCTCCTAACTCCCCCCCACTAACATTTGAAGATTGCATCGTTTATTTCCGCATGTTTATCTGCCTGCTTTGATGACATTGTTTATATAATTTTCATACTCTTGTTTTGATTTCGTTAATTGCACCATTTCTGTTCTTCGGAATTTCAACCACAACAAGGGATGTTTTCCAGTAAGTAGGTGACACCATTTTCGTTATCTCAAAGACCAGAATGGATCATTTTAATAAAATTCGTGAATTTGTAGTGTTCTAAGCAGTAGTATAGTTGAAATAATATTAAGTTTCGTTTTCTATTCTATTAACAGTCATGTTGCCAAACTTTTGGCTCTGTATGAAGTAACTAATTAAACTAGCTTCATATTTCCTCTTACAAACTTTTGCTAGTTCTTTGCTTGTAACTATCTTAATCTCTCTGTCTTGTTTTGCTCTATTCGTAACATTCGAGTCTTGGTCTATAGTACTCTCAAGTTAAGTTAAATTATCATTGATAGTTCTTATTAATAAATTGTTAAAAAAAGTAATTTGTATTGATTTGTCTTTTATGTTTTATTATCATTATTTTTTGTAATAATAAAATACTAAGTTTAGATTAATCAGGAATTGTGAATATTTTAAGTTATTTTCTTGGATTAGTTTGTTTGTTTCTTTGAAGTTTTGAATCGTTGTTGCTTGTGTCCCCACGATGCTGACGGCACATGTTTTCATGCCACTATAGCGAGAAAGGTACCGCCTACGTGTCCGAGCATCGGACAGGGGCGTGCCCCCCTCCTACGCAGATGTGGACGTTGAATTAGACGTCGTAGACAGGAACAATAAGCCACCTCTGTGGGACGTGAGTGTATACGGCCCCATTCACATCAAAGAAAATGTCACAGTTGGTACAGTAGTGACTTCAGTCAAAGCCAGGTTTGTATTCTCATCACCAAGTCCTTTGCTTTAGTTTGTAAGCTTTTTTTATTTGATCTGTCCCTAACCCAATAGATCCTTTTTTCCCTCAACCCTGTTCCTGGATGTCAGCGACAGCGGAGTCTCGAGGGAACCCTCCTGGCATCCGTCGCGAACAGGCAGTGTGTGTGCGTGTGTGTGTCTATCGCTGAAGCCGCTGCCATAAAAGGAGGACAGTGTCGCGACGACGGGGGGCACATCGGCTGCCAGGGGGTGTTGCTGGTTGGTGCGTGCCCTATCACAGCAGTACCTCGCACCCCCAGTAACATGAAACCCTCCCTAATAATCGACTAGTGTAAGAACTAATGACTAACGGCGTGATTTTTTCTTTTTTTTTTCCACATAAAATTTTTTTACTATAGCGAGAAACATACAAGTTGGAGGCGATGGCGCAAGATAAAGGCTACCCTCCCTTGTCCCGAACCGTGGAAGTTCAAATTGATGTTGTGGACCGGGCGAACAATCCTCCTGTGTGGGACCATGTGGTCTACGGACCAATCTACATTAAAGAGAATTTGCCGGTGGGGGCAAAAGTTGTGTCGGTTAAAGCCAGGTCTGTCTCCCGATTCAGTGTTTGGTTGCTCCGTGGGGCACGCCTTGAACAACCCCTACTTGCACGGCACTGTTGTGGGAGTTGTGTTGTGCACGCTCGCTCCCCACACGTATGACTTGCACGTACAGACATACAGCTCTCTACCAAACTTTGTGTGTGGTTGTCCTTGAATTCCCCTATTCTCACCTTGTATTTTACTTACTCAAATATTTGCCTGTTGCTCATTAGTCAAGTTATGCTTATTTTTATATCCATTAGAAAAATAATAAATTATGGGAAATTAATTATGAATTATCATTTTATGCATATTCTTAGTTCTTGTGAAGTAATATTTGTTTATGAAATGCATTTTTCCTTCACATTAATTGTCCTGAAATTATGACAAAGTTTAGTGTTTTATTGAGTTATAAATTGTTTTCCTGTGAGACAATGAGTAACAGGCATTCCATTTACTCATGTGTGGGCTACCTGCCGACAGATCTGGAGGTATTAGATTGGGCAGCTGGTAAAATGAAAGTTGGATAACCTAATAGTTCACAGCAAGCACTATGGTTGCCTTTTGTGTTAAGCTTCTAATTTAACAGATATTTCAAATACTTGGGAGTAACAGCTTTGTGCTTAGTGTTTGCTGTGACTTCCATTCTGCCAGACTCCCTCGGATGGTATGTGACTAAATTTAGTCACGTAGAAGGTAGTAATGGCACATGTACTATACTTACTGTGCCTGAAATTTCAACAGCTCATGACTGACCTGGAAATCTGGTAAAGTAACTGAAGATGAAGGCTCTTCCACTGAATGTTGTTGGGTTCATTTCAAAATCACAGTGCACCATAAAAAGCTCACATCTTTCTGCAAATATCTGGTCTTCTTCTCTGTCAGAGCACAAATCTTATAGAACCTAATCTGCTTATCTTTACACAAGTTGGGGTTCAACTATCTGGTGGTGACAACATTCAGTGTGGATGCAGCATCTCATAAACTTGTTGTGATCTGACGTCCTGGTGCCTAGTTGGGACATTGCAATGGTCTAGCAGGTTGCACAGTATTCAAAATTAAAGGGCAAATTTCCTCTCCTGTAATAGTGTCCTTCGTTTTACTTCTTGTGCTGTGTTTTAACATGCTGAAATATTTATGGCAGTAACAAGTTGCTATTTGGCAGTGTCAACATAATTTTCTCGTTGATCAATATTGTGCCTTTTTCGTGCTCTTAGTATCAACTAGGCATGATGATTGAGTAATAAATTGATGAGAAAGTCATACGTATAGGCTAGCATTGTTGCCGTGTTGACAAACCTTGCGACTGCGAATATTATTAGCTGGCTTGGTTAACGCATGCTCAGTACTGTGTGTACCAGAGGCTTTTGCTATGGGAATGCTTAGGTGTGGGATACAAGCAGGCATTAGATTAAATGTCACTATAAAATGCTCGGGGGGTGGTAGGGTAAGGTAATTATAAAAGAGAAGCATAAGCCAAGTTAGATTTTTTTTCACTTCAACATTCGAATTATAAAGTATATTTTTGTGAATTTTTGTGGCATGATTTTTGTTGGTAGATTTTGTAGTTTAAATTTTTTTGTTGTACATCTTGTGGATGCTGTCGAAAATAAATGATATTTTGTATTAAAGTTCATATTCAGTCTCTTTTGATGAGCAAAATATATATTTTTAATTTTTAAATTGCATGTTTGCATTTGTCCATGTGTGACCAGTTGTTTACAAGAAAGCAATGTTAGAACAGTATTTGATTTATGCCTGTGCTACGTATCTATATTTGAAGGCAATGCGTTCGTTCATACTTAGAATTATTTTGAAACAATTGCCCTATTGTCATAAGCAGATTTGAAAAAGCATGATTACAGAGCTGTATTTTTAATTTTTTAATTTTTACATTTTGGATTTTGGTATTATGCGTAAATGTATTAGCGCTCTTAGAACGATATTATGTCAGGGTGATTTTGTGATTGTATCAAGTAGAAGAATGTTATATACCAGTTTTGTAAATTTAGTCTCTGGGGGCAAAGAATAAGTGATAGTTCCTTTCTGTGGGGTAGGTTAATTAAAACGAGATGTGTATATATTTATATATATATATATGGGATGATATAACATATATTTTAAGGTATATATGTATATTGGTTTGGGACACTATTAAGAGGGTTGGGGGGTTGCTTGTGTGTCTTTTTGTAACCGGCGTACCTGCTGCAGCTCGGGGATCGAGGGCAACCCAACTGTGTTCTACCGGCTCATGCCTGGGTCAACGGCGCAGACAAACAAGTTTCATACATTCTACCTCCAGCAACGTGCAGATAATGGATTTACATGGGCAGATATTAAAGTAAATCATCCACTTGATTACGAGACGATCAAGGAATACAACCTGACAATACGAGTAGAGGTAAGTAGAAGCTTACAACGTGAGAGGAAGAAAAATGAGTTTCTGTTCTCAAAATATGAGTATATCTTTTCTGTTGTTTTAATGAGTCACTGTTTTAAATTAATGTTCACGTGATATTCATAGTTTGTCATTAGATTTACACGATTTTAGATAAATATTGTGAATTAAAAAATAAAATTTTCATAGTCATTTGTCTTCTTTCAGATGCAAATTACTTTTGAAGTACTTATGAAACTCCTTAATTATATTGCAGCAGATGTTACTTAAAGTCTTAATGTGAAATATTGAACAAAACAGTTATTTAAACTGAATAATTCCTAAATTTTACAAGATTTTCTCTTTCTTTTAACAGTTTATGATTAATGATCTTTCTAAAGTTATTCTATAATGTTTAGAGTTAAATATTACCTTCCATGTCATGAATAATAAGTTGAGTAATGGGATCCTTTTTAGAACAATGGAGCACAACAGCTGGCCTCTGAGGCTACTGTGTACATCATGCTGGAGGATGTGAATGATGAGATTCCCCTCTTCACTGAGCGTGAACAGGAGACTGTGCTGGAAGGCGAGCCCATTGGCACTAAAGTTACCCAGGTCAATGCCATTGACAAGGATGGAACCTTCCCCAACAACCAAGTGAGTACCATTTGCTTTGGCATGTTATCTAGTTGATAAATGCTCTTTGTTTAATGGAATCTGTGCATGAGAAGATAGTCATTTTCATCTCTACTCCATCATTCTTTGGAATCATCAACACTTTAACATGAATGAAGTTAGAAATTATTTTGATTTAAGAGAAAATGTTAGTGAATTTTTAAAACTATATTTTCTTCTTAAAATGGTAAAATTGCTTATTAAATAAAAACAATTAAAAAAAAAAAATTTTAACTGATGATTTAATATATAACTAACTTTTTGAATAGATTTCACGAATGATTGTATATTAGTATGCTATGTTTTGAAACTTCAGTTTTGATAGGAAGTAGTATTTAAAAAACGCTCCTCTATTTAAAATTTTTAAATATAGAGACATGCCATGTTATTTTAACATTTTACTCTTATTGATTCATTTTATGATTTAACCATTATTTTCCTATCAACAGAAGTATGAGTTAGTCTTTCTGGGACAAATGGAATTAAAAAGTGTTTAGATTACCTATATCATATTAACTGATAATGGATGCAAATAATTCAATTGCATTCTATAATTTATGTTACTTAGCAGTGAGAAGGAAAATTACAAATGACTTAAAGCATTGAATATAGGCCACCTCTAAAAATTATTTTTGCCTTGAAAATGCTTCATTGGTGATTTTCATGATTTTTGTTTCTTGAATTATTATGGGAAATTGATCAGGCATTGTAATTATTTCCTTTATTGATTTATTTACTTATATATTTTATTTATTTATATATTTATTTAATTATTTAAAATTGAATTGTACAAGACAAAAATTATTGTTCAATCTAATTTAGTGATTAAAAAAAAAAAACAACCTCTTTTTCTTACAACCTTGAAGTAGAATTTGAATTGAAAATATGGTCCTATTTCTCGTATATAAGAACTAATTGATAACTTTCAGGGAATGGGTTCAATTTTTCATCTATTACCAGTAGTTAATTACTTGCTGTGGAGTTGGACATTTGAAGTGGAATGTATCATTTTTAGAAAACATATCAGATGAATTAAAAATTAAAGAAGAATTGAGGGACATGGTGAAATATAATTAGGAGCCACACTTGTGCAGTTTTTAGATACAAGTCATTTAATATTTCTGAAAATGTGCAAATTAATGGAGGAATACGGCACAATAAGTCAGGTGTTGTCATGCCGTATGGCTAGAAAATGGAAACCTACAATATTTAATGAGAAGAGTATTGCTCAGAGAGAATCCTCAACAGGTCAACTTTAACAATTCAAAACTATTTTGACTGCCTATCTCTCTGACCCTTTCGATAGTGAACTCAGCCTAGCACAGTGATGTACAGTGCAATAGAGATAGTTTCCCTCAAGGTAAACAATTGTAGCTGTGACATCACTTTAAGATTTTAATTCAAATTTATATACTAATTTAAATATTTTCATTAAAATCTAAGTTTGTAAGTTTATTTATAATTTTATAATACTGTAATCTAGAATAATTATTTAAATTGAATTGAATAACATTTCTAACTACTTGAAGTAATTATGGGAGCAATTTCGATAAAATTCTATCGTTATATTGCCAATCATTGACAGTTTTTGTAACTATCTAATTATTATAAGTTCAAAATAACCAACATACATGGTAAACATTTTTGGGTTAATAAAAAAGTATGTAATTTTTTGTATTGAATTGGAGGTGGGGTGACACCAAGTCTAGGGAGTCACTTACTCGAACTAGGTACGCCACTGTAGGCTTTGAATTGGAATTGCGATTTGGAATTATGAAGTTAACTGTGTCATGATAAAAATGTAAACAGAGAAAGATCGTAAACATTTGGATGAAGTGCACACGTCCACGCACAAGTTCGAGAGAATTGACACAACCTTAGAGTTCATTTAATACTTTGAAAACAGATCTTCTTTTAACCGTTGTTGGTCATTACTCAATTTGCGGAATTTCTTTATTTTCGTCGGTTGCTGGAATAGTACAACAAATATTCAGCTGTGATAGAAAGTGCCTGACTCACTGCTTTCTCTATAATTGGTGGAAACTCTTTGCTCACGGTCTCTGCGTCGCGTCCGTCGCTGAAGCGTCCTCCGTAATAGAGCTGTAACGTAACACGTGATGGAACCGTCGTCTGTGCTGTGCCGTTGCGGCCTTGCGTGACGTGAGTAGCCGTTCGCTATCCGTTCTGCTTTCGCGTCTGATATCGCTGTCGAAAAATTTCCATAGCTTTTGTGCGCGGTGCAGAGGTTCGCTTTACAATAAGCGAATTTCGTGTATTAATGCATTCACAAACAGCATGTGTGCGTTGTTACAAGGTCGAGTCCTAATGTATAAACAAGTGGAACTTTTGTACGTAGTGTTGATGGAAGAGCGGGCGTATGCTAAAATGCAGACCATTTGAAATGCAAACTGCGGCGTTGCTGATTGGTGCAAATTGTTTTATTTGTCAAGCCGGTGACGGCTGTTCGTTGCAAAGGAGCGCCGCGCTGTCTCGTCGGCTCGTATTGAAAACTCTCTCTGAATGCGTTTTGATTCTGCCATCCGCACGCGGATTCTTGAGCGAATTCCGACTTTGCATCGTAGAAATGCAGTTTGTTTCCTAGAACGTGCAGCGAAGGGAAGTGCTTTGAGGGGCTGCAAAAGCCAGAATAATTCGTAATGAACATAAACGCATGAGCCTGTTTTCGTAAAATATTTACGGCACTTTCGAGTCTTTTGGATGCATTAGTGTAGTTTGCAGCATGCGTTCTTTGTGAATTTTTAATGGACGATATAAAGAGTTTTACCGTTTGCGTTGTATTAAAATTCTAGTTCGCATTCTTTGCGCCTGATACACTTTTCCCGATGAAACGTTAACATTGGGTTTGATGATGAAACATATCATTTCGGTTTTCGTCATTTACCTGTACATGACGTAATCCAACAAATGATGGCGGGAGGGGGTTTCTGTGATACTTGAGTTTTCTATTGTGCAAACATATTTAGATTTTCAAATCGCAGCACTTCGTTGAAGGAACAACAGTATATTGCGGTGCAGTCGGGAAAACACGTTCACAATTCTGGCAAACATCGTTTTCTGAGAAGAGATAAATATTCATGTCGGATTTCTCTGGGAGTTTGGGGACTGTGGAGCGCGCGTGTGCGCAGGGGTGGGGGCGCCCTCTTATCGGCATTTCGGCGACGTCGCAGCTTCCCACGATTCCTCGAATCGCCTCGAATCGCCGCGAATCTGAACGCGCGCCAGATTTACTGCGAGCGGGGCCTTAAGGAGCTCCCAATAAAACTTCGGGCGCTCCCACGCCCCGCAACTGCCGGGGGAAGAGACCGTCATTACACAGACGGCTTCATGGAGTTGTGATGTATGGGCCATTGCTTGGGCCCTACCTACCCTGCTTCCAGCTCCGCCATCCCCGCTCCCGCCCCTCCATCCACGCCGCCGTTTCTACTCAACACGCTTCCTTTCCCCCGCTTCCACCCTCCTTCGCCATTCCTCCGCTTCCTCCGTCATTGCCTGCACTTCCGACATTGTTTTCAACACATCTGCTGTCGGTGTCGCTTTTCCTTCGATGTCCTTGAGACCCTTCCTACCGCCTTCTCATTCCTGTATCCTCTCCTGCATTAGTCCCCTTCCGACATATCAGCATCTCAGGCTCTTGCCTTCCCGTTAGCCTTGTTGATGAGGCCAACTCTACCCTTATCCCTTCTAGGAGTCACTATCCTCATTTCATTCCCTTCGCCATCGTCCTCGTCGCCGACATTGACCACGACCTCCACGCCGCCGCATCATCTCCCGTGCTGTTACCGTCACCAACCAGCGCCCAATGTCCCCTCCCCACCTACTCTGGTGGGCTTGTCGATGCGCGCGATTCGCGTTGGTCGAGGACCGCGGATCGATCCCCGAGGCTTTTTCCATTGCTGTTTGCGGCGCTAAGAACGTCTGGCTTCTTCGGAGCACCCATCCGACGGCCCGCCTGCCAGTTGCGACTACGGCCTTCGGGCGGGGTGCGAAATGCGACCGGCAGTCGACTCGACGGACGGAATTGAAGAATTACGCAATGTTCCAAATGGAAGACTTTCGAAGCTCTATTGAAATTTTATTTTAAAAAAATGTTCGAATCATGGTTTGAGGATTTGATGTTTTGATCATAAGAAGTTCGATTGTTGCCTTCTTGGTCGTAATTCAGAACAGATTTCTATTTATTATCAACCTGTATTTTTCAAAATGCATATAATAGAACGTCGTCCTATGTGCTGCTGTCAAGCGTGTAGGATGAATTTTTTCGTAGTTCTGCAGGACCCAAGTCACGTGTTACATCGTAACGCGTCAGCACCTTCTGGAGAAACGACTTGTGTTTGTGTCCTTTAACGTTTCAGGTGAAGTAGACACAGTCACGGGTTACGTATTCATGAGTGCGGGATGACCCGGTTATGAAAGAGACAGTAAATATTCAGGATAAAAATGTAATATGTATGGATGTTTCTAAGTGAAATATTTAGAATGCTGGTTTTTACTGCGGACTTTCTCGAAGAGCATAAGAAACGGCCAAACATGGCGAAAGTGTTTTGCGTGATGGACATGTTGGACGTAGTCTGCCGTCTTTTTTGTTGGTGCCCAAGAATTTCACATATTTAACATACTTTTACAAGTATTAATTTTTTCATTTTAAAATACATTTATCGACGTTACTATGGCACGACAAATTATTTATGAATTGTGAAAATTGGGTATTATATTTTTCTGCAAATTTCATGTACACGTCAGCGCCGATTGATATGGTACATATATTCACTAACTACGAATACTATTAGCAACGGAAGTAAATTCCAAGCCCTTTAATCTATCGATAGCGTATTTCCGGCAAGTTGCACCATTCGTAGCGCGGTGTGCAAATAAACACGTAAAAATAATCCGGAGTTCTCACGGTTTCCACTGTACGAAACGTGTTTGCTCATAGCACTCTAGCCACAACTGATGCTTTCTTTACTTACATCCTTTATCATTTGCTTCCCTTGTTCTTC